TTGAATTTACATTAAAAATTCTTACGGTTGTGGGATGTTGGCCACCGGATTCTTGGACAACATTGTGTAAACGTACTGTGTATAACATATATACGACTTTCGTAGTATTGCTGCTGTGCACCTTTCTGCTGTTTCAACTTTTGGATATCATTCTGAATGTCGATAATACCGACGATTTTACTGATACTTTCTATTTCATGCTCGCCATGGTGAATTCTTGTTGTAAAATAGTCGGTCTTTTGGTAAATCGCAAAAATATAGGAATATTAACCAATATTCTTACCCAGAAACCATTTATCCCATTGGAGGCTGATGAAATAGAAATTCGCCACAAGTTTGACAGAACAATACAGTAAGGATAAGCAAAAACTCTCTCTCTGTATTTCTAAGAACAAAAATGTTTAAATCTTTTAAGATTAATTAGATATTGTGCAAAACAACAGTTCAAACAAAAATGTTCTTAATAAATCGCTCAGCCATTATATAGGATCAACACTTTATGGTACACAATTTTGATCGAGACGACGTGTGCAAGCACCGCGTTGATATCATTATTCACGGATTTCCGGAAAAGTACTTTAACGTACAGAGAATGGACACCGTACAACTACACGTCCGAGGTGGTATTCTGTGTCATATACGCTCGTCAGTTAGTGTGCACGTTTTTCGGCTCCATGGTGAACATAGCATGCGACAGTTTAATTTGTGGTTTATTATTGCACGTATGCTGTCAGATCGAAATACTGGAGTGCCGGTTGAAAAAGGTCTCCCTCGGCCAAAACAATCTGCGTGAATGTGTACGTCAGCACAACTGTATATTTAAGTTAGTTTCTTTAATAATTCTGCAGATTGTAAATTGATATAAAAAATATTTGGCAAATAAAAAATCAGTTATATGTCGAGTTTCTTTAAATAACTTTGCGTATAGATATTGAGTATTAACAATAAGAGCTCGTTATTAATTGTTTTCGTATTTAAAATAGACATATAACGTATTTTAAAATAAATCTTGAAAATAAAAATGTATATAAGTGTTTTCAAATCAATATGATATTTTTTAAAATATTTTTATTTTGTAGATTTGCATTAATGGTGAACGAAAAATTCAAGATTATTATAGCCATTCAATTTGTAGTGAGTACGCTGGTGGTGTGTTTCAACTTATATCAATTGGCGAAGATGACGTTGAGTGCCCAATGCTTTCCATTGATATTATACACATTCGCCATGCTGACGCAGATTCTTATCTATTGCTGGTATGGAAACGAAGTGAAGCTAAAGGTGCGAATTGTGTGCATATTTCGCTAAGCTCGAACATATATTATATAATTTATTAAGTTATCCTTATCCGTGATATTAAATACTTACCAGGTATAAAATTGTTAATCTATAACAATATGCAACTGTAATGAACTTAGTAATACTCTGTTATAATCGAAATCAGAAAACATTAGTTACAATTTCTTCTTGAGAATCTTGTGTAATGTTTTCATTCATGTGCGTGTTTTAATTCATTTTTTTTGCGTGTTATATTTTTTACAGAGTGTTCAACTCGCCGCTAATATCTTTGGAATGGGATGGCTGAAAATGAAGCAAAGCAGAAAACAGAATTTGTTAATGATTATGAATCGTTCATTAACACCGATTGAATTTTCGAGCGCTTACATTATTACAATGAATCTCGACTCTTTTGTAGGCGTAAGTATAACAAGTCACTAAACAATTAATAATTAATTAACAAAGATATTTATTT